AAGTGCTTGAGAATGACCCTATCGAAATCCTCACCACCGAGAGAAGTGTCACGTTAGTGGCCTTGACCTCAAACACACCGCCAGAGATCTCCAAAATGGATATATCAAAGGTGCCTGATTATCATGGCATCAAATCTGCTCGTCTGATCAAGCCTCATCCTACCTCCGCCGAGATCATATACGGCAATAGTCTGACCCTCATTCTTATCACAGCCGTAAGCTAAAGCAGCAGCAGTGGGCTCGTTGATGATACGAAGAACCTACGCACAATAACACTACTGAGTAACAATACGATCATCAGAGAAAAGCCTACATCAAGACCAGCGATCTTGCCAGCATCCTTAGTAGCCTGTCTCTGTGCATCGTTGAAATAGGCAGGGACAGTAATAACGGCTTGCTTCACTTCACGTCCGAGGAATGAATCCGCGGTCTCCTTCATCTTCATCAGAACGAAGGCACCGATTTGAGAAGGAGAATACCTGAGCGAAACGAAGCATCCCCGAGAGATTACATCCCTCATTTTTAATGTCCTCCTCACTTCTGATTGTTGGCTTCAACCCAAGCATCACCAGTCTTGTCACAGACGATCTTGTAGGGCATTTGCTGCTTATCTTTTTGAGTCTCGGGGTCATTGTATCTACAAAACCCCATACCACACCTCAGCCCATTCCCAACACTCACCGTCGGCCGATAAGACGCTTAGTAGCGAAAAGAGTGTTCTCAGGATTGGTCACAGCCTGACGTTTAGCTGGCATTCCAACTAGCCTCTCACCCGTCTTCGTAAAGGCCACTACGGATGGTGTCGTGCGCATACCTGATCACAACGACAACACATGATGATCTACACCCATAAACAGCAAAGCCTCACCCTCAGAGTTCTCAATGACACGAGCCTGAGAACCTTCCATAACAGCTACACAAGAATTGGTGGTTCCCAGATCGATGCCCACGATATCTCCCGTGGTCTTAGCGAATCGGATGGCACTGGTTGACAGGAGCCTCATAGCCGAGGGGCGGGCCAAGGCGATGCTGGGTGTTGCGAG